CTACATCTTGCAGCAATGAATTTCACAGTTTAGGTTTGTATTATAAACTGGAATTCTCTACCACTTAGCGGCAATATGAACAGTTACAACTCTTCTGTCCTGAAGCTCTCATGATACAAGTTCATGTAATGATACTGGATTCTGATATCAAATTGAATGAACTTTTCTCCACCTGTTCAAGAACAATTTAACATAACCTTTTTGAGATGCAATCAGATTTGTATTACTTATTCAAAGTGTGGTTGCATCTGGCATTTGTTTATAACATCACAATATGAGCATTTTAATTTTTAATGGCCTTCGTTCCAACAGTTGTGCACTGGATGGATATTTTATTGAGCTATATATAGGAATTGCAAGATCTGAACAGTCACTACCAGGTGCAATCACTAAAGTTAGGGTTTTTTGTGTTTCAAATTGTACATGTTTATATGTTTGCCATTTTATGCTTGTTTATTTTAAATTCCTCCAGTGTGGAGAGATCATTTGGGAATTGTTGTCTCATTAATCATCCTACATTAATTGGTGTTAGAAAACATAGCTTCTGCTTACCTTGAATTGCAAATCATTTATGAACAATTAAGGAGCAGCAGGGAACTCTATTGTCCATTTATTATACATTTTATTTTGTATTCTTACTGGTTCCTAATTATTGATCCAATTAAAAAACTTCTTTCATAATTGAAATAAGTTTGCTCAGGAGATTTTCATCTACTTCGTCAAAATGCTTGTAATGGCTGGCTAAGACACTGTGAAAGAGGATAGGAAAAAATATTACAAGTAGAAAATATATGCATGTTCTTCTTTTATCAAGAACACAGGTAGATAGCTTTCCCAGTATATAACAGGCGATTAAACAGAATTTCAAGAAATGAATTTAAAGATAATTTGGGTGCTAAAGTAAATATATCCAGTTACCAATATTTCTGTAATCTAATTCCTTTTACTGTTTTAATAAATCTGATAATAGTAGACCAGACATGTCAAACACAAGGCTCGGAGGCTGGATGCGGCCTGCGAAATGGTTTCATGTGGCCCGCGAAGCCATCCTGGAAACAGTGAAGGAATGGCCCCCGCTGCCTTGGCCCTGGCCCAGGCCAGCTGGGAGCCAAAGTACAATTTTGTGGTAGCCATCTATGCTGAAACACATTCAGTCTTAGCTCCACAAGGCTGTCTGGAAACAGTGAGGAACCAGCCCCTGCCGTGTCAGCCCCACCCCCTGGGTGCATGCTGAGAAGGTATCACCCTTTGTGAGGAATGAAGAAATGCACCATCACCTGGAAGTGGCCAGCAAATGGCCCTCACCTACTTCACATATCCGGCTTGATGGGCTCTGGGGGAGGGGTTTCGGCAGGCAGCGGGGCAGTCTCCTCACAGCCCCAAGAGGCTGAGCCGGGCGGCACAAATCCAAAAAGAAATGCGAGGCTGCCCAGCTCCCAGCCTGCCTGGTTTCAGCAGGCAGCGGAGTGCTCTCCTCACAGTGCCAAGAGCTGAGCTGTGTGTTGTGAATCTGATGAGAAGTGCAATGCTGCCTAGCCCCCAAGCCTGCCCAGTTTCAACAGGCAGCAAGGTGCAAAGTTGACAAGCTTCGTACCGCCTGGCTCAACCTCTCGGCGCTGTGAGGAGAGCGTCCCGCTGCCTGCTGAAACCATGCCCACCCAGTACCACACCCACTCCATCCACGCCCATCCAGTAGGCTGCACCCATCCTGGTCACACCCACCAGCCCCCAAGAGCAACCGCAATGCTAATGCAGCCCTCAATGAAATTGAGTTTGACACTCCTGTAGTAGACTCTGAAAATTTTGATTTGTGGCTATAAGTAGCTGTTAAGAGCTTTGCGTTCTTGGTAATTTGTCTGTTCTCCTTACAAGGGAAGCTGCCTAATTCTGCCTTCTTGACCTGGACTGTGGCAACCTATCCACCAAAAAGGTTGTTAACAACTGAACAGGTTTCGTCTGATTTTCACATGCCATTCAGATTTTCTGTCCTGGTAAATGGATTGCAGACTGCAATCGTTTTTCTCATGCCTTGAGGATCCCTTTGCAATCTTATTCATCAATCTCAAAATCAATTTGCCTCATTTTCATATATAGTACTTTATTCCTGAAAACATTTTCTAGTCTTCTGCACAGAGATACAGTTGAGGAATTAACTTTTCATTTAAGCTATTTCTTAGATCTACTTTAACTCCTCTGTCATCCAGCATTCCAATTTTCTTAGTCATTCTTCTGCTTCTAATCTATTTAAATAACTGACCTCTTGATTTTAATGTTATTAATGTTAGGTTCCCTCAAAGCATTGTTTGCATCCCTTATTGTCTGCTTATATTTCTTTTCTGCAGCCTCATATAGTATTCTTTGCAGTCCCATCTGAATGTTTTTGTATTCACATGAAGGCTCTCTTTTAATAGCCTTAATGGTGCTGATCTTCTGTATCTCCTATGGCATGTGGGAGCTGAAAGGTAGAATTTGTCCAATAGGAATATGCTGTTGCATGATGCTCAGACTTAATATTTCGGTAGCAAAATAGAGTATGTTTCTATACTTCGAGTTTCCATATATTCTCTACAACAGATGCTGTACAATAGCCAACTAGATAGATAAATCTTTCAGAGGAACAGTTGTGTGTATCACTGAACATTATGCTTCCCCCCCCCTCAAAGTGGTTAACTAATAGTAATAGAGTTCAGAGTTTTTATTTTCTTTATGTGAAAGATAAATAATTCCAACTCTTTGCATTCCTTGGATTTTCTACTTTAGCGCTTGTTATGTCTTTCTCCATATGAACTAAATGTAAGACTGTTTGGCCTGGCTTATGGATTCAAACCTACTCTTGATTTGGAGGGAAAGTTAAATTATTGTGTTCTTTCCACGGCTGGTTGTGCAATCTGAAGTGGTGATTACCAAGTGTGTACTATTATAACAGTTACATGGTGACTGTGCTATGGATGGAAGCTGTGTGGAACATTCTCTGAAGGAGCCTGACAGCAGTAATTTGTAACCTCTGGCTTGAACCAAGGTTGAATCTATCTTATTGAGGAGAGAAGCTTTACTTTTTATATAAACAACTCAGATTGAGTTAATGGAGAGGATCAAGTGTTCCATTTTAGAGTTGCAAAGCTGTTTCTTTTGCTTCTCCAAATCTGTTCCCCAAATTAGGAAAAAGAAAGTGCATGTGAAAAAAATGTGTGTGGCGTAGGGAAAAAAGTGCATGTGAAAATATTTGAGGCACCAGATTCAAAATGCGGAGGGAAAAGAGAGGGTGTTGTGTAGATAGTCAGAAAGACCCTGGCAATCCATCTGAAGGGAGAACTCCTGCAAATGATGTTAATTTATCTCCTCTTCTGATGCAAGTTCCCAGAGAAACCTTGAACAACTCAGTTAATATGTTCCTATATCAACATTTAAACCTGATTCTGAGTAGTTTCATTGTTTTAATTTCTATCCAGCAAGTCCCAGAAATTGTAATCTTGGGGAAGAACTAAGAGTTCTTTGCTAAGTTTATTTGTAATTTATTCTGTAGATGTCTAGGATCCCTTAGCTGAAAGCCATTATTGTTTGGCTGGCCAGCAGAGACCACCCTGTGGATATTGGCTGTGTCATGCATAAAAACAAGTCATAAAATGATTTGTTTGGCTTGGACAATGTGATGTATGAAGCCCCTACTTTCGTATAGATTTATGTGGGAACAAAGTCATTACAGCTTGCTCAACAAATAATAGTTTTAAAACCCTGTTCTAGGATTATGTTGACTGTTGATTGCAATCTTATCTTTAATTTGCTGTTTACTGCTGTAAACATGACAGTCCTGCTTTCCTTGAATACCATTAATATCCAGGGAGTACCTAGATTACACTAAGTTTTATTTGATTTTTTTTTAAAAAAAAAATCCTTTCTGCTTGGCGTTAATGCCAATTTTTTTTTAAATTTACTGCCAAGGCTCAGGTCTCAGAAACTATTTGAATATTTATATAGACAGGGATCTACTATGAAACAACTTTTCTTTTTGTCTGAATTAATAGTAAATAGTAAACTGTAGATAAATTAAAGTTATGTGCATACTGTATGAACATATACACCTGAAAGGTAGAATTGAACTATTGGCCAAAACAGATAAGATGCATTTTATTTATTTATTAAATTTATTTGCTGCCCATCTCATTTTGATGCTATCTGAAGACTTAAGTCACTGCTTATAAATATTTTAGAGTAAGCTTTACTATATGGTTATAAAGGACAGTGTTCCCTTCTTCAATATCTGAGATTGATACTAAGTGTGGGTAGCAATTATCTGTTTATATTTTAATTTTTTAAAAAAAATCAAAAGCATTTTGGAAAGTTGGTAATGACATTGAACAGTAAGGCATTTCTTTCACTTCAACAGTGAACTACCTATCTAAACCAAGGATGTAAATATTGTGATGGTCTGAAAACCCACAAGGTTATCACAATTCAGGTGCTGTTTTTAATGAAATCATTCAGTTCAATAATTTTTTAGTAGAATGCCAAAGAACATTTAGTATTGCTTTTAACATTCAAATCATACAGCTTCATGTTGCTGTTAAGAATAATACATTTTTACCATTAGACTTTTTCTTCCTGTGAATGAGAAAAGATTTTAAGTGACATTGCTCAAAACTAAATTTCTAGTATTGCAGCTGTGTTTTTTTTTTTAAAAAAAGAAATGACTTGTTGTTCTCAGACCTTTTTGAGTTGCCCTATACCAGTGGTGGCGAACCTTTGGCACGGGTGCCAGAGGCGGCACTCAGAGCCCTCTCTGTGGGCACGCGCGCTGTCACCCCAGTCCTAGGCCTTCAGCTGGGTTTTATAAAACCTTTTCATTTTAGGTCTCCGCCACAGTGTGCAAAAAAAATAAAAAGATTCAATCAATCAGTCAATTTCAACTTCTCATGGGAAAAAAAGATCTTGCAAAGTTGGAATTGATTGATTTAACTTTTTAGTCCCACCCAGTCTACTGTTACCACTGCAGCCATGCCCACTCAATGGGCCATGCCCACCCAATGGGCCACACCCACCAGGCACCCGACGATGCATAAGTGGGTTTTGGGTTGCAGTTTAGGTACTCGGTCACTAAAAGGTTCGCCATCACTGCCCTATACGTCTACATAGCTGCAACTCTGGGGACGTTAGAAATAAATACCATAGAATTCAGTGAGAATTGTTTCCAAGAAAATTCACTCAATTCTAAACAGTGACACTAGGATATATATTGATGTCATCTACATCGCCCAGAGGCAAAAAAAAAAAAAAGTTCAGTATTGCAAAGGTATATCTACTGCTGGTACGTAGACTGTTTGGTTCTGAATCTTGATTCATAGTTCTATGTCAAGGGGATGAGTAAGCTTAAATGGAGTAAAATGAATCACTTCACCTCAGAGGAGCTTCCACTGAAAACAAAACAGAGTTACCATCATTATTTTAAAAAGGAATGTCAAAGACATTGAATACAACCCCCTAAATGATATAATAATGTCAGATCAAATTCAAGGCAAACCAATCAGTATTATGGTGATACTAACCTATGTTCCAACAGCAGAGGCAGGGCGTAAACAGTTTGAACAGATGTAACAATTTGCAGCATCTTGTAGATACAACACTGGCGAAATATATCTTACTAATTATAGGAGACGGGAATAATAAAATCGGAAGTAAAATAACATCTGAAATAATGAGAAAATGTTACCTTACTTTATAAAATGAAGCAGGAAACAGTTCTGCCAGGCATACTAAATGTTTATAGCAATTACAATTTTTCAACTACCTAAAAGAGGACTCTGCACATGGACATTGCCAGATGGAGAATATCAGAATGAAACTCTACATCAGACATGTCAAACACAAGGCCTGGGGGCCGGATGCGGCCCGCAAAGTGGTTTCATGTGGCCCACGAAGCCATCCTAGAAACAGCGAGGGAACGGCCCCTGCTGCCTTGGCCCTGGCCCAGCCTGGCTGGGAGCCAATGTACAATTTTGTGGTGGCCATCTATGCTGAAACACATTCAGTCTTAGCTCCACAAGGCCGTCTAGAAACAGTGGGGAACCAGCCCTTGACGGGTCAGCTCCGCCCCCTGGGTGCATGCTGGGGAGGTGTCACCCTTTGTGAGGAATGAAGAAATGGACCATGCCTTGGCGCTTGTCCCGGTCCCACCCCTTTCTGCCAGAGACCCTCAGATCTGTCCCACTCCTGCCCAGGCCCTCACAGGCCCCCTTGATGTGAACAATGTAGAGCTGGCCATACCCACCCAGTAGGCCACACCCACTCCATCCACACCTACCCAGTAGGCCACACCCACCCTGGTGACACCTACCCGCCCCCCCCGAGGGCAATCGCAATGAAGTTGAGTTTGACACCCCTGCTCTACATACTCTATAGGCAAAGATGGAAATTCTTTTTTGTCACAAAAACAAAGCCAGGTACTGACTGCAGTTCAGATTGTAACATTCTTGATTCAGAATTAGCACTTAAATTCATAAAAAAATACCATATAAACCAGTGGTTCTCAACCTTTTTAATGCCGCGACCCCCAACCGGTCGTAAGTCGAGGACTACCCAACCGGTGGTAAGTCGAGGACTACCCAACCGGTGGTAAGTCAAGGACTTTCTCTGCCTGGGAGCGCCGCGCATGCGTGGTGCTGCCCCCTGCGCCGGCCGAGGCGTAGCTGGCAAGCAGCAGAGACGGCGCAGGCCGACCACCGGCTGGGCCACCAGCTGGCCCACCCCAAGGGAGGTAAGGCACCCGCCGGGCCCCACGAGCGCCAGCAACCCTCCCTGCGCCCGCCGGCCTCCCACCTCCCACCCCTGGCCCTCTTTTACTTACATTTTTAGTAGTTGCTCAGCAGGGAGGGATGGAAACTTCCAGACAGCTCGCCTTCGCTGCAGACAACTTGCAGCACTGTTTGCAGAATGGGACTTTTGGCGGGCTCAGCAGGGCAGAGACAGCCTGGACAATTCCTATTGGCTTTTGAAAGCCTAGAATTAGACTCTATTCAAGAGAGTCTATTCTATTGGCTTTCAAAAGCCAATAGAATAAAAGGGAGTAGCACAACTAAGGAAAAGGGGGAAAAAATGGCGGACTGCGTTGTTTGGCGACCCCTGTGAAATGGTCATTCAATCCCAAATGGGGTCCCGACCCGCAGGTGGAGAACCACTGATATAAACAATATCAGCAATATTCCACATGATTGCATTATGAAGGTAATAGGTTAAATGTATCAGATTTGATAAGCACTGTATAATGCCTGAATAACTTTGGGCAGAAATTCAAGATATCACACAGGTGAAGCAAATAAAGGTATCTTGAAATGCAAAATAGTTATCTCTTGATATACTGAAAATACTGCCCCTCCCAAAAAACTCTGAAAGGCAATAAAAGCAGAGGAAAATTATTCCAAATAAATGCTGAGTTCTAGAGAAGAGCAAAAAGTAAGGTGATACAAGGGGTACAAAAAACTGAAAATAACTGAATATGAATAGGTCCTATTATTTAACAGAAATGGTGATTACTAGCATTGCTTCCTGGACAAGAGACATATTTAAAATAACAGATATATTTAAGAAAAAGAGGGAAATATTTTATCAAGTCTGGACAATGTTAGATATTGAAGTATAGGGACATCACATTGACAATGAACAATGTCAAAATTATGGTTTTCCCAGTTATTCATTCCCAGTGATGAAAGTTGGATCATTAGAAAGACTAAACAAGCAAAAATGAAGCTGCTGCTCTGGAAAATTGTTGAGAATATTTTGGGCTACATGAAGGACAAATATTAATAGCAAACTTAAGACTTAGATATTTTGAATATATACTGGAAAGACAAGATTCATTAGAGAAGACCATAGTGCTTGGGGGGGGGGGAAGCAATTCAAGGCAATGTTATTAAATTATATAAACATAAATTTTACAAGAATTTTAAAAAGCAGTTATTGACAGATAGTCCTAGTGAAATGGATCACAAAAAGTCAGAGGTCACTGAATAAGAACAACATAGATAGATAACATGACTTCCTTCCAAGAAAATATACATAGATTTTGCTGCTCAGTACATAATAAATTTCCAGTCCTGAGAATGTTGTGGTTGCTTTTAAATCAACAAGCAAATCGGGTGATAATTCTCAACATAACTAAAAATCCATCAGGAAGTATTGCTATTAATTACCATTTCTGTTAAATAACAGGACCTGCTTGGAATCAAGAATCTTTCACTTTTTAAAAGAATAGCTTTTAGTTTCCTGTATAGAGTTGACTGACAGATGATGGAACAATCTCATTTGCCTTCTGTAGACTAATTTGTGTCTAAATTTTAAATCCCCTGCACGTGATCAGGCTACATATGGACAAGGATTGTGAAATACACATGAGTTCCAAATGTTGAAATGCAGGCTATAAAGTTGAACAATAGCCTGCATAAGAAGGAAATTATTGATAAGTCTGCTTGGTTATGTTGTGATGAATTGTAAAATTAATACCAATCATGCTTGGTTTGGTGTATAGCAGGTTTGATTTTACCATATAGTTTGAAGATTTATGATGCCCATCTAATTAGATATAGTTAATCAATGCTGGATTAATGCCCAGTTTAATAACTACAAGATAACTAAAAAGAGAAAATGACAGGATCTTTGGCATCTTTAGTTCTCAGCTAAAATTATTTCAGTGTTTTGTCAAGGGCAGTTGCTGAATCTGGACATTATTTTTTGGTTATAGACTTTGTTCTCTTTACAACAATACCAGTAACAAAAAACTACATATAAAAGACACAGTCCACAGTCAGAATCAGATGACAGCATTGTTCCTATATTAATTTATTTAATCAACAATGTTTAATATTTTTGACTAATAGCACAGTTAGGTCGGATTCTGAAAATCTGAAAAATAGCAATATCAAAACACTTGACAGCTACTTAGGGAGGGAAACATACTTTTATTTTGATACTTTTGGGCAACTAATGGCTGCAGTGAGTGCAGCAATGTCACTATGATATTATACACGTAAGTAGGACTAGGATTTTCAGAGATTGGAAAAAAGAACCCTTTCATTGTGATAAGCCTTTCTGCTGACCTCTTTTTGCTTCTACCAAAATTATGTTTGTATTTTGGGGCATTAAATTTCACAGCAAAATTTCTGCAGGCCACCAAAAAGAGGTCAGGATTGGTCCATGGTTATTTATCTTTATAGGAAAGGACCATTACAACCTACCAAGCTATTAGGTATTGGCTATCCTATGGGGGGAGGGAGTGGGAAGAATTTCAGAAGGAAATCCAATTCTGAAATTATGTGTACTTGGTCAAGAAATTCAGGTCATTACCTGAACTGAGGTCACAGTGCTTTTTTAAATTAAGTGATACATATTCAGTAATTTACCAAAGCCAGGATAATTGAATTACCACTTAATATTGCCTTTGAAATGACAGCTGCAACTATTTTAATTGTATGTAATTTTCATTGCCTGTTTTGTTTGCTTTTTATTTTCCTTCAGTTTTACATCACCCCCCCAACCAGATATGTTTTTCTTTCTTTCTTTCCTTCCTTCCTTCCTTCCTTCCTTCCTTCCTTCCTTCCTTCCTTCCTTCCTTCCTTCCTTCCTTCCTTCCTTCCCTTGCTTTCTTTCCTTCCTTCCCTTGCTTTCTTTCCTTCCTTCTCTTTCTTTCTTTCTTTCTTTCTTTCTTTCTTTCTTTCTTTCTTTCTTTCTTTCTTTCTTTCTTTCTTTCTTTCTTTCTTTCTTTCTTTCTATGGCTTCTTTTGATTAATTTATTGCATCCAGATTGTGGCCCAGTCCTGATAAATTAGATTTTAAAGATGCAATGTTATTTGACTTATTTTTTTTCTCTTAAAAGAATAATGCAAATATTTCTTTGGAAATGTTTATGCAGTTCTTGCTTCTCATGTCCCAGGAGCCTCAAATTACTTCCTTAGTAATGGATTCAAGCTGTCTTTCTCTGTGTCTAAATAGAAGAAAATGCAGAGTTTTTAACATAGAGCAAAACCTAAAATGTAGTTTGGCATAGGCACATTTACCTGATGTGAATAATTTTTAGGTTACAAAGAGCGAGCTCCCAAATTATATCTTTATAGCCACCGATCGATCTAAGTCTGCTTGCATATCTCAAAAACTTGAGACTGAAATATGGTTCATTTCCTATGTATATTTTCTGTTTCCCAAATCTGTTTACAACAAAATTTTACTTGTACATTTTTTTCACCTGAGAAAATCTACAAGACTCTAGACCAGTGGTTCTCAACCTGTGGGTCGGGACCCCATTTGGGGTTGAACAACCATTTCACGGGGGTCGCCAAACAACACAGTCCGCCATTTTTCCCCCCTTTTCCTTAGCTGTGCTACTCTCTTTTATTCTATTGGCTTTTGAAAGCCAATAGAATAGACTCTCTTGAATAGAGTCTAATTCTATTGGCTTTCAAAAGCCAATAGCAATTGTCCAGGCTGTCTCTGCCCTGCTGAGCCCGCCAAAAGTCCCATTCTGCAAACGGTGCTGCACCAGTTGAGTAGTCCTCGACTTACGACCGGTTGAGTAGTCCTTGACTTACGACCAGTTGGGGGTTGCAGCATTAAAAAGGTTGAGAACCACTGCTCTAGACATATGTATATAGTTTTGCAAGCACATGTAGATTCACACAAGGATATGCCTAGTATTGGGAGTTTCTGGTCACAGTGGCTACTGTCTAGATTGGGTTTATACATGTTCAGCTTCCAGTAATACATCCCAGCCCAAACTGCGAGATACCTCGCCACCCAACAATTCTTGGAGGGCACTATGTGTATGAATGTATGTTTTATAGGTAATGCTCAACTTATGACTGTAATGGAGCCTGTCCATCATGGTTGTAAGTCGTGACGGTTGTAAGTTGGATCACCCACGTGATTCACCCTTTTCATGACCTTTTTTGTGATGATCATTAAGTGAACTCAGCCAACATAAAGCAAACAACATGGCTGCTAAGTGAACCAATGGTTCCCTATGGGCCGGTTTTGCCAAAAACCAGAAGTAAATGCTGATTTTTCAGCAAAACCATTATAAAATGTGGTCACATGTTTGTGGGACGCGGCAAACAATTGTAAATGTGGGCTGTAGAATAGAGAAAGGTGACCTGTAGTATTCCATATGTTTTTGAACTAGAATTCAAGGCATCCTTCATGATTTGTGCAGCTATTGAGAGTTGCAATTCAGAAATGCATGGAGTGCTTTATGCTGTTCTACCCTGCAGTATAAACTTTTTCAGCCTCTTGCCTGGAGACTGATTTGCTTTTCACAAAACGGAACTGAAACCAGAAACTGATGCCCTGTAATGCTATATTGCATGGGGTGTGTGTGTGTGTGTGTAAAAGGGCTTCATGTTGGACGCTTGAGAAGTGAGAATGAGAGCTCATGTGTCTGCCAAGGCTCTTGTGTGCCTGTTTAGTATTTCCACATTCATCTTGGGTACAGAATATTGTCTGGAAAAACAGAGAAGAACTGCTTGTACTTCTCAATGCTCAAAGCTTTGAATCCTTTCTGCGATGGAGGTGAGAGATGCAATGGGGTTCTTTTAGTGTGTGTATTTGTGTGTGTGAGAAAGAGAATGAGATTCTTCTTTGAATACAAAGTGCCTCTGATTGCTACATCTGCCTGCTTCTGATTTTGAGAAGCTGTTCTGGTGGCTTCACTGCAAGGCTAAGTTACAACTTTTCTGAATGGCTGTTGTTGTACAAGCAGACAGTTTGCTATGGATACTCATTTCTTATAATATCTTTGCTATATATTGGCTCTGACTGGCAATTGGCTAATGTTGACAATATGTTAATCAGAGCTTTATTTTCATAAGTTGTCCATTCCTGCGATTTTGTGCTTAAGTAGCTGCAAGTGAATGATGTATTGGGAGATGAGGGGAATCCACTGTTTTCCATTCCACTTTATGGATGCCACTTGGAACAAAACAGTATGGCTATACTATAGTCCTTGGTCCTTGGATTTGTCTGTACACATATAGGAAATACAATTTCAGAATAGTATGAAATAATTAGAGACATGTTCTATTTCAAAGATATGCTGTTATCGGTATTAAAGAACAACAAAACAGTAAACAAACCTTGAGGTACAATTTTGATATACTTGATTATTATAATGTAATAACTCAATTGTTAGGTCTGATTCCACACTGAGCCAAAATTAGCAAATTTTCGAACTAAATCAAAAGTACATGGATTCAGAAAGCAATGGATTAGAAAACTGAGCAAAAACCAAGTACCTTTGCAATAAAAAAGATTTAGAAATCTAGTTCGTGTATTCAATCTTTCAATAGCTAATTTAACAATAGAAATATTTCATATTTTGAAGAAAGGTTGATATATTTAATCATCTTTCGCTAAACAATAATTCCTTCTTATCTCTGGCTTCATATTATATTTCATAGTACTATATTCAAAATACCTGTAAATTGCTTTGTGGATTCAAGCTTATTATGACTCCTACAAAGAAGAGGAAGAGACAAAGAAGAAATCAGTGTTGTTCATAAATAAAATTAGGCTGATTAGCTAGTCAGGTCAGCCAAAATGTGTAGCTTCTTAATGAAAAATCATTTGAAAGGTGTGTCTTGAAATTTATTATGTATGTCTTAGAATGGAGTGATCTTCCATTTTGAGAAGGGAAATAGTTATTTGTGGAGTACATTAAGCAAAGCTGTTTCTTTGTGTGCAGATATTGGTAACGATCAGTCCTGTTTGCTTCTTTGATATTACTGTCCAAAACTATTTTTGTCAATCCATGTACTGTACAATATTTTAAGCCGGTCCTGCATTTTCGCTTAATCTTTTCTAGTGTAATTAATTTAGGTAGGAAATACTTCTCATTGCATATGTATTCTAGAATATTCCAATTTCATTTCCTAGATGACATTTGCAATTTCCCAATCATTTTTCTTTCTCTGAAGGATTCATTCAAGTTATGATATTTTAAGTTATCTTTTATAATTTCACATTTCAAAGGCTTTTATTCTCCTGATTGCCACTGCTTGCTCTTCTACTTCATACAAAAGAAGCAGCAAGACATAACAGCATGCAATTTGCTAACCAACAGCAAACAAGTTGACTGATTTTTTGAAAAGCTACCTTCATCTGTTTAACCCTACTCCTTGTTTCCATGCTAAAACAGGAACAAAGACTCTATTTAAATTCCCTTGGCTGCTGTTATTTAATTTGGACCTGACAGGAGGGAATTTAAGCAGGATGATTGAATGCAAAGTAGTTTTCAACTAATTAACAAATGTCTTATAATTTGTCCATGAGGGATACTGCACTTAGAAACATTGATATGATTTTCTCAACTTCGCTTTAATGTGCTGTTTTGAATCTTAGGGCATATCTAGATACTACTGAAATTCTTGTTGTATGACCTTTAACTGGATGAAATCATAGGCAACAGTTTTTGAACCAAGGTACCTTAAATGGCTGACTTACAGAATGTGTCCATGTGTCTGGGATCCATGACTCCCAAGGGATGAAATTTGGGAAAGTGGTGGCTACTTCATTGCTACTGGCTCCTGCTCCGATCACATGATGTTCACTTTCAACGTCACTTTCTAAAAGTACAGCAGGTGTTCATATTTTCACAGATTACATTTGATTCACCAGGTATCTGGTCAAGAAGCAGATCTGATAACATAACTGTAAATTTACTTTTATCTCATAGCCACTATGAATGCTGCTCAAGCCCAACAGTGATGTAAACCCCAGGCTGCTGCTGCTGCAGCTGGGAACAGTGAAGGGCAGCAATGAAGGCTTCCTTGTTTCTCTCTTTGTTATCTCAGACACCTCTTGGCCTTAGCTATGTTTTGATTAAACAACAGTTTCCCTGCTGCTGTGTCAAGCAGTTCTAAATCTCAAGTTGTTTTCTATACTTCTTCCTTAGCCAAAGTATGCTTAAGCTTGTTTTATTTATGAATTTTTTAAACCACTTTAACTTTAGAAGACTGAGTGATTTACAAAGAGCCTTCCCATTATTCTTTTCTCCAGGCTTCTGTCTTTTAGTTTACAATGAGTGACTGGAGTATTTCTCCTTGTGTGGCTAAATCAGCTTGCATTCAAGAAATGCCATCCATTAATGTGAAAACTCAGAGGTGACCTTGGTTGAAGCCAGTCCTCTCTGTGTGGCCTAACATACAGAATTCAGTACAGTATTTCCATTGGTTAAAAATTGCTAAAATGGTTTAAAAGAAATCTAAATCAGGATTCAGATACTTTACTACCCTTTCTATTGGAAAATTGATACAGTACTGAAAACATCAGCCTCGTAGTAATGGCAGGGTTTAATTAAATACAAAGTAGGATTGCAAAATAGGATAGGTTCATATGGCCTACTTTGTGAAACAGTTCTTCTCTAGGGAGGACAACACTTATATTAGGATAGACTGATAGTCAAGAGAAAGCACTATACTTCACTGGTTGATAGGATACTGTTACTCTTTGTCATAGAGCAGATATCTCGCAACACCTGGTAAGGAGGACTCCCAAGTATGATGGTTTCTGAGGAACCATGTTCCCATTCACTTACACGCTGTAAAGTTCTGATCTAATGATGGGAAGAAGAACTTATTTTTATTTTTTCAATGACTTGTCCAATTTTATACCTCTTTCTTTTCTAAGCAAAGAAGCTTAATTTGGCAATTTTTTCCATAGGAAAATGATTTCACCACTTCTTTGTTTTTGTTTGTTGAACAGAACTGTCCATAGTATTCCAAATATGACTCATTATGATGACATTTTTAAAAAATCCTTTCTAATGATTCTCAAGATGGAAATTGTCTTTTCCAGAACAGTTTAATTAAGTTTTCACCAAGCTTCCATCCCTACCAGAAGATCTCTTTCCTCGTCAGTCTCTCTCTTGGACTATTCGCCATTAGTATTTAGGCTTTTAAAAAAAATATTACTACTATGCTATAATATGCATCATTCAGTGCTGTTTATAGTAAGCCTCATCTAGAATTGGAAGGAGCCATCAACCTAATCTCTTGCTGAGTGCAGGAATCTAAATAAAAGCACTCCTGATACATTATTATCAAACCTCTGTTTGAACACACCCAGCGGAAGAGGTTAAGCACCTTATGCCTGATCCTCTTGTTTGTAGAAATCCATTTAGAGTTCTTCATTGCCCTTTTTCCATATTGTCCTCACTAAATAATTTGGTAGGATGGATAAATTTCATCAATCTTCTGGTCCCCCATAATTAGATAATTTAAGGATGAGTTAAAAATTAGCTGATTATTTTCCATTCTTTGTGGAGGAAGAGCTCTTTCCATCACCCACCATTCATAGTTATAATTGCTGATAATTATTGGCTGTGAATCCTGTGTTCCAGAATTCAAATTGTTATATCTGAATATAGTATCATATTGGGGATTAAATAACAGAGATTGCTATAATTACTGTAAAATGACTAAAGGGAATAATAAGCTATAAATGCAATTAAATCATGTACAAAAAGCTGTTTTACCTGTTCATTTTTCCTTGTTTTCTCCCTTCTTCCATGAAGGCAGAACGAAAGAAACCAAACACCTTGTTCTAATTGTAATCATTAATTGACAACATGTTCCACATATCACCTGCTCATAGGTACTGTTCCAGGAACAATGTCTTGCATCATAACATTTTTTTTCAGACAGTCCTGTATTATAAACTTTTTGTGTCCCATTATAATTGTCTTAATTTTCCCCAAAGAAACCTAGGAATTGTAGTTCAGCAGGAGTGCTGATCATTCACTTAGAAATTTATAATCTTATCTATCAGGATTCCCTAGAGAGGAGGATGAAATGTCCAGAATCTCTAGTCTGAGAGGTAATACCAAGTATTGCAAGCTGTGATGCTTGCTCTCACTTAGTGAATTTGCTTTTAATCCATGCACTAATCCCTGTTCCAATCATCAATAAATGTAATTCTAGTTCAGCTAAGTGCCTCCTAGTACTAAATGCATCCCACTATAATCAGTTCCACTAAATGGGTGCGCTGGGTGGTGGGTTCAGATGGCCTAGTGGGAAATTTTCTCTTATCTTATTGTAACATGGACACAGCCTGCTTCATTAGTCTGTAATGTGCCAGTTTAGTTCCTGATACTTTGGCAGGGATTCTTGGGAGGGATGAATCAACTGTATGACCAGTTCTCTTCTCCTACACAATTGCAAATCTTTTGAAGGTCCCTTTGGACAAAAGGCAACAATTTCCCCTGGTTCCCAGCATCTGAGTCAGTTTCTCTCACTGGCTTTTGTCCAAGACAGAGTTGGAAAAAGGGGTGGAAGAAAGTACAGCCTTGCTTCATTAACCTAAAATGAATTTGCTCAGGCAAAGAACATTTCTTGGCTTTTCAAAATCAAGGCCGTTTTTGTTCAAGCGCCATCCTTTCTCCCCCTCTCCCATTTTGCCTATGGATGGTAACAGAAACAACGTCTTCCTGCAAAGTTTCTCATAATCCCTGCTAAACTCTAGTGACCTACACAGGGGGAGCTTGCTGGCAGGAAATTGGATGCCTTGGTTGCCATCACACCTTTGCTAAACTTCTACATCCCACTGTGTTAGCAGTAGGGCAGAATCTTTTCTAGCCACTTGTCCTTCAGCACTTGGGATGGTTTTGGCTTTGATCTGCATCTCTGTGTCTTTTTCAGCAAATACTTTGGGTTCCTTATGGCCCCATAGATTAGCTCATCTGAATTATCCACAAAAAGCAGGCTAACGGGGAGCTTTTATAGAGGAGTTAGGTGGGTCAAACAGACAGGTTCTTATGCTTCCTTGGCCCTGAGAATGGTGAATGTGGGAACTGGCTTGGATTTGAAGAGCCTGATACAGGCATTCAGCCATACACTGAAAATGTGCCAAGCTTATAAGATCTTTAACAAACCCTTCCCCCAAAGTTTTTCTGGAAAAGAATAAATGTATACTTTGGGTAGTGCTTCAGTCTGTTCTTTGTATGCCTGCAGTACTTTAAAGGAGGAAAGAGAATTCAGATAGAGAGAAAGAAAAGAAATTCTATACCCCCTAGATATACATATACATATATACGTATACACACACACACACACACACACACACACACACACACACACACACATAAACACACACACACACACCTATAATAAAGGTAAAAAAGGATATATGCAGTGTTATCTTCATTTTAGATATCAAAAGGGTTTTGTGGCTCCCGGTGTTTTGTTTTTGGTGGGAAACCGGTCCAAGTGGCTCTTTGAGTGTTTTGGGTTGCCTACCCCTGCCCTAGAGCAACCAAACATGAAAAAATTCCAAGGCAGAAGGTGGATGTAACAATTTGAGTTTGGTTTATATTGTCCTGTAGCAGTCTTTGAGAGTCTGCTAAATAAGCTTGGTCCTCTGAGAGAATCTAGACTGGCAGGCCAAATCCAAAGGCCCCTGAAAAAAGAGGATGTGTCCCAATTCCTCTGTTTGTTGTAACTTATCAGCCTCTCTAATCAGAATTCTGAGTAACAAATGACCAAATAAACAATGAACAGTTAAGAATGAAAACTGTCTTGCCAACTATCTGGCTTTAACACTCTTCCTAGTGCCCCAGTATCTGAGCTGTGAATGGCAGGGGATTTGCTAGTAATTTTCCATATGTGATTTAGAAATTCTACTCCCTGTAATGGTGGTTAGCGTTACATGTGAGGGCAGAATGGGGCGTCATGCGGGAGAGACATCTTGGAAAATCTCTAGTTTCACATCAAAGTTTCCTGATTAAAAAAAAAAATCAGGTATAATTGAAAGTGTTATTTTTTCTAAACAAAATGTTCAAAGGAAAAGCCAAAGCAAGTGAGAGAGGATGGAGAGTTGCAGTTTTGCTTGTTTTTCATCACTGGAAAACAGAAGACAGATTTTTCCATTCTTTGCAATAGGAAAGTTACAGTTTCAGAACAGTAAGAATCTTGTAAAGAATGTATTTATTTGGGATTTTGAAGACAAAGATATTGGCGTAAGCTATTTTTCCTGTTCTCCCGACTCTTCTTTAAATGTATGTTACATCTGGCATCTTAGAAGGATATTATTGTAGTAAGCAGTCTGTCTATTGCTATTTGCAAATGAGTTGTCTGAGAAATAGTAATTATAAAATAATTTTTAAAAACAAAAGCTAATAGATATAGAATGGATAAATATTTCAATAATTTTAGTATGCGCAATGTAGTTGGCATTCAGTTTATAAGAAAGCAACTGTAGTAGGCTAGCATTTTCTTAAAAGCCTTTTCCTTCCTATTTTCTGTGATCTAGTATGCACTGGGTTTTACCATTCTTGCAGCCATTAGTCATCAGATATTTTACTGTTACAGTAAGAAAGGAAGGCCATCAGGAAAACTAGATTTACTAGGTTTCACTTTATTTGCAACTGTCATTCAATAGCTCCATCACAGATGCCAGAGGGGAAAACTAAAGTCCTTACCACATTAAAAATAACCCTCTTTATCTTTGTTTCCATTTTCCCCTCCATCTTTCTTTCTTGTTCTGTCTTTAAATTGAGGAGTGCCGTTGTGCTTTTTTATTGATCATTCTAGTGTAAGTGCAGGATATAAAAACAAAAGGTCAGTAGTAAAATTTACCTTGTGCTGTATCATGGCACTAAGCATTTCCCTGCATTTAGACCCACAGCATTAGCTTATATAAAGGCTGAAACTGGCAAGAAGGAAACCAGCAGTTCTTAGGCCAGAAAGAATTGCTGTGTAAATATGGAACAGATGGTCTGACTCTCAAGGTTCAGAAAAGAATGGCCAAATATCTTTTGGCTCAAAAAAGAGGGAGGAAAAGGCCCTGAGACTCTTCCTCTTTCCCTCCCTTACAAGCAGCTTAACTCCTTCTTTATGGAGCAGGTTGATTTTCTGTGTATATATATAATACCTTGTTGGCAATAACTTATCTAGCCATGTTAAGTTTGAGAAGCTCATTCTGTTAGCTAGCTGCGTGAATGCAGAATTTAATTTCCAGAGTAGAGATTTATTACCATGACTGGTGCAAATGCTTCCAGTATGGTGAAGTGAAATGCAGAAAGCTGTGAATCATGGTACATGTCAAGATATGTATGTGTTGTTCTGGTGTGTTTGAGCCCAGCATTTATCCTTGTAGTATCTTGTGGATGTTTTGGTTCTGTTATGCAAGAGGTTTGGGTTATTTAGAAGATTATTTGCAGAAAATCAAACTATTTACAGAATTTAGGAAAGCTACTTGTTAACCCTAAAGTCTTTCACAATTAATGCTACCTATAGCAGGAATTCTTTTTCCTCCTCCTCCTCCTCCTCCTCCTCCTCCTCCTCCTCCTCCTCCTCCTCCTCCTCCTCCTCCTTCCTATTTCTCCAGTTGCTGAATGCAGAACTCCTGGCAGTAAAGTTAAGATTTTTATGCCCATTGTTTTGTGTCGGCGGTTTGCCAACTAGCATGAATTATTTGTCACGCTGCTGTATCGGCACTTGGTTAATGCCCTGCAGGATACATTAGAAAATTGCCAGTGTCCCTAGTACCTTGAAAACCATGATACACTAAGGGAATGTTGCATAGTACGGTATTGTTTTATTTCCCGTTCTAAAATTCTGCCCAATTTCAATAACAAAAACCATCCAGTGCTACAATAATAAATTCAGCCACTGTTGTTATAAGATATTTGTGATGTCGGAGGATAATTGGTATTTATGGGAAATAGAATGTTGAGAATTAGAAATAGTATTATAGTCTGTGAATGAACAGTCCTTTTGGTTTATTGGCTGGATTTTGTAGCCAACTACTATGACCACTGGTTTGGAAGCCAAAGCAGGAACATGACAACGGCAAGAGAATTTCACTGGAAAGTAGTAAACCCCCCTCCCCAACTCTCAGTGGGATAGCACTTTCCTGGCAGAGTTGATGCTCAACTTTGAGATCCTCTTGGACTTACGATCCTGCTTGAGAATGCTGTAGCTGGGGGGGAGGGCTTTGCACAGATCCATTTTGTGCCAGTTGAACCCATTCATAGACCAAGAGGCCTTGCTCACAGTCACTCGTGGCCTTTCCACTTCCCAGTGATGAGAACACTCTGTATGGAGCTTCCTTTGATGAGCTGCAGGAAATAGCAATTGATCCAGAATGTAGCAGGTGCACGGTGTCAGTGCCATCTGGTTTGTAGCATTGCTGCACAAGCTGCACTGGCTTCCAATTTTTCTGGTACTGATTATCACCTTTGAAGCCCTAAATGACATAGTACCAGCTTATTTGTCGGATCGCCTCTCTGTGAGGGTATCTGCTTATTTCACTAGATAGATGGGAATGCTCCAAGTGTCTTCTGTAAAAAATGTAATATGCCTTCTCAATAGTGGTCGCTATCTTGTAGAACAACCCCCCCCCCATCGGCAGGCCATTAATCTTCCAATAGGCCTTCAAAAATTAGCTCTTCTTCCAAGCATTGGGATCCAGTGAAGCTGGTATTATTGGGAAGTGTTGTTTAAGAGTGCCAACGCCATGCCTTTTGAGATTTTGTTTTAGGTTTTTAATTTTTTTACATGATTTTATTGTAATTGCTGTAAGATGTCCAGGATTATGGCATATAAAATGGGCATCCATATATGTTTTCTAATAAGTGACTAAAGAGGCTGAAAAATTCTGTTTAAAAAAATTCTTCACTTCAACCTTAAAACAACGAAAAATGCTGCTTTACATCAAATACTCTGAACTGCTATTGTCTACTCCGTGTTTCAGGTTTTCCGAACAAAGGTATTTGTGATCACTTGCAACTTAATCTTTTTTAATTCAGGCTTCTAGGAATAGAGTAGGTTTCTACCCTAAAACAAAACTGTTTATCAAGAACAAGGTTAAATCTACCGAAGTGATAATATGTTTATTTAAGGTTAAAGTGGATTATGGTAATTGTAAATTAATAAAGTTTAAAAACAGGATTAGGATTTATAGAAATTTAATATAGAAATGGATTATTTTAAATATATTATATTATTTGAGGGAAATAGAGAGGGAATATTTAATGTATTTACTTAGGTTATTTTATATGGATTTATTGTTGGATAAACAACAACCCCAGCACCACTGTGTGTCCCGAGCACTTTGTTGTAAGAGTTAAAAAACTAATAAAATTTGTTTTTTTTTTTTAATAAAAAGAACAAAGTTAAATTTGTTGCCTTCTAATAGAAGAATTTTTGTCTTGTTTCGTTAATACTGTAGCTGCATTAAAAAAAAGTTCTCTTTGTGGCAGAATAAACAAGAGTCTGTTCTTTGTGGATTGCCTGAAATAATTGCCACTGCCAATTAATCTTCATCTTATCCCATGTAAGAAGCCAAGGCAAGCAACAGCTGATGTTGATTGAATTCATCTGTGAACAACTACAATTGAATTAAGCCTTTGATAAAAACTAAGTACCAGCAGTAATATTTGTAGTCTCTTACTTATTGTGGAATAAATATTAACAGCTATTTTAGTTTTGAGATTAAAACTCTTATTTTTGGCATTCCACATTTTAATAATTTACTGCTATATTTTATAACTATGGAAATCTCTAATTAGCCAGCAGGGTTGATGAAGAGAGTTTTTGACCAAATTCAAGTAGACATGGATCTAGAAAATAATATACTTTGAATAGTCCTGGAGTTGGTCACTAACCATTTACTGAAGGATCTTATATTGTATAAGAAAGATATGTAAATAAATGGCCTAGAGTTGCCTACTTCTAAACCTAAATTAGATTTTTTTTCAGAACTGTCATTAGTGCTGCAATTGCTCTGTCACTCAAGGAGGCATCATAAATTCCTGCAACTAACTGTCTCTTCTTTCCTTATCATCTGTTAAGAAGCCTAATTAATTAATTAATTATTAAATTAATTAAAGAAGAAAGCTGAGTGCAGCTCCAGAGGTCAGCAAGGAAAGGTAATGAAGTTAACTGGGATGAGCAGTATAAACAACTTGAAGTAGCCTACATGAAGGGTCACACCAGGAATGCATTTATGCAAATGAAAATGATCCGAACATCATTTATTGCTTGTAAAGGTATCATTAAAAACAAGCAAGGGAAAGAATTGTCTGACCAAGAAG